TGTTATAGTTATTAAATAAACTGTTAATTTACCGACACTCTTCTAAATCTAAATATCAAATTAAACCTTCTGCTTACTACCTATTAATATTGCTTTACTTATCACCTATAAGCATCTTAAAGAACTGATCATAATAATATTATGTAATTTAAAGGATTTTTAATTTTAAAATGAATAATAAATTAACTAAATTTTTTTAATATTTCTTTAATTTATATAGAAAATTTTAACCTATAATTTGTCTTCGCTAAGCTAATTTATACTTTTTCAAAAATAAAGATATCTAATGAATATTTAAATTTTCTGTTATTATTACTATTACTAGAATTAATTCTGTTGATAATGCTATTACTATTATTAATATTAATAATACTAGTATTTACTAGTATTACTATTATATTATTTATTTCAAAATTTCTAATATATTAACTTTTATAATTACATAAGTTACTGCTAAATCTTTTTTTTTTTTTTGCTTAATTATTTAATTATATAGTTTTTTAGTCTTAAAATAAAAAGATTTTTAATCTAAACTAGTTTTTTACTGCTTTAGTTTAGTTTATTTTATTTTGAATTCATTTCTAATTATATTAATATTAAGTTAAAATGACTTGCTACTTAATTTTTTTGTGTAAGTAATAATAATTTTTTATTTAACAAATAGGAATTATATTTATATTTGACTTTAACATTTATAAAAGTAACAAGTTTAAAATAGATTTATATATAATAGTGCAAATACATAATATGTTTAAGATGTATAATACATATTAATTCTATTTTAAAAGATCATCATATATATTAAATAATTATTTTAATTAAAAAATGAAAAGAAAAATTAAAAATTTTATTTTAAAAAAAAAATATCTCAAAAATAAGTGCTCTTATAATAAAAAAAAGATGCTTATTTTTAAGAGTATATAATATTAGATAATATAATTTTTATATCTTATTTTATTTAAATATCAATTATCCCTCTATATTTATTCTTTATACAATCATATTATATAAATCCTTTATTATAAGTACACATTTTATAAAAATTAATATCTATTAATACTATATAAAAAATCCTTTATAATTATATTATTTTTATAATTATACATTTTTAAAACTAATAATTAATAATAATATATATAATTTTTTTTATATAATCACATTTTATTATAATCAACTTTTATTTTTAGTTCTAAGAAGTGTAATTATAAAAAACGATAATTATATATTATTTTTATATATACAATATATTTATATTTTTATTAGTTATAAAGTAATTTATAATTAGAATAATATAAAATTATATTTAAATATATTTTTAATTTAAAATAAAAAATGTAGTAAATAGATCAGATAAATAATTTTAAAAAATTATTTTAAAAATTATTCTTTATTTTATTTATTTTATCTATTTTTTTTATTTTTTTTATTTTTATTTTTTTTAAAAAATTATTTTATATATTTATTAAAAATAAAAATTTGTTTTTTAATAATAAAAAAATTTTTTTGATTAAATAATATTTACTAAAAAAAAGTATAAAATATGATTAATTATTAATAATATAATAATATTTTATTAAAGTTATTATAAACATAAATTCAAATTTTAATTAAGATATATAATACAATTTTTATAAGAATTTTATTATAACTAAATATATAATATATATATAGAATTAGCTAATTAAATTATTAATTAATGTTAATTATACTTAAAGATTAAGTTTAATTTCTATATTATTTTAATAATATAAATAAAATAATTATTTATTTTTATGATTTCAGTAAATATAAATAAAAATTAAATTTATTCAGATATAATAATAATCAAAAATGATTATTTTATAATTAAAAATAAATTTCTTTTTTATTAATCCAATAAAGCTTAACTAAAAATCATATTATATATATTAAATGATCTATTATTAAATAATAATTTAATAAGATATACTTAGTAATAAGTTATCTTTATAGATTTTAGTATTAAATAGGAGACTTAAAAAGATTTTAATAGAAAGTATTACTTATAATAATAATATTATCTTATTCTGATATATTAATAAAAAAAATATAAAAAGTAAATTACTTTATATGAAAAGAATAAAATTTTGATTCTATTTTTTAAAGTTATTAGATTAAAAATGTAATAAGTTCTAAATTTTAGTTAAAAACAAATTCTCAGAATCTGATTTTTCTAATATATTAAATTTTTATATAATACAGATCAGATATAATTGTTTAGCTAACAAAATGTATTTTGTTAAAATAATAGCTTTAATTTATTAAAAACAATTAGAGTATTAATGTAAAACAGTATTTATTTGTTTCATAAACCATAAACATTTCACTTTTCTTTAATAAATTAACCTTCAATCATTTATAACTTATAAGTAACCTAGAGAACTAACCGTAATAATATTAATCAAAAATTTTTTATTGAAATTTAGGAATTGAATTGCGTCATGACTCCGGTATTTCATATTTTGTGAAACACAGAAATCAACACACGATCGACAAAATTCGAATTTTCAAATTTCTTATAAAAAGAAGCAAATGTCGTCAAATATAACTAATTTGTATTATTTTCATAGTGTAGCATGATACTATACAATGATGGGATGATAAGTTCGCACAGATTTGGACTCTAGGAACAATAAAATCAAACAATTCTGTAAGACCTTGTTTTGTCATATCAATCTTTTGATCCAACATTACAACTAAATGATATGTCTTCAGAAGATCTACCATTGGTTGTGGAAATAAAACTTTTTCTCTTTTTTAACGAACGTTTGTCAATAATTTCACTTTGAAAGACTTTATATACAAAATATCGAAATAAAAATCACATTGTATTTGTCAATAAAGTATTTGAAATTGTTCATTCGAATCAAACCTTTTCAAATTCAATTTTCTAAGAAAAATTATCGTAAATTATTACAATTAAGGTTCTCCCCCAAAAAAATGAAATGGTGCTACAATCGTAGGTAAAGTAGGTGCATTCGTTATAAACTCAAAAAGAATTATGATTAATTCTATTTTTTTTTTTTTTTTTCACCTAGTTTTAATAATTAAAAGTCCCCAGTAAAATCATATTCTATTTTGTAATTTTTCAATATACCTTCAGCCTTATACCTTTCAATAACTTGATTATGACTTTTTGTTATTTCAATACAACTATCAACTTCATCATAACAATCACAGATATATAACGAAAAAGATCTTTTCTTTTTCTTTCTTTTTTCAAAAAATTTTTTTAATCCTTTAGGGGTAAAAGTCCATTTTCCTGCTATTCGTAATTTGGAAAATTTTTCATGACATAAATTTCCCAACATTTCAAATAAAAGGTCACCATCGAGTGGATTATCAAGGCTTCTAATAGTTAAACCTTCCAAATGTTCACATGAATTCAATATAAATTCAATATCACTAAAATTATTTTCAAAACACCAAGTGGTAAGATATTTTAATTTGGGAGCGTATTGAGCCACGACTCTATTAAACGTTCCTATTGGTTTGGGGTCGGGTTTTGACCAACCATGTAATGAAATACTTTCAAGATTATTTCTCGTCCTTCTTATTAATCTTCCCAACATAATTAAAGGTGCAAGTATTCCTCCCATTTTTAACATTTTAAGGTTCGGGAATGCCGTGAATTCTAAACTTTCCAAAATTTCTTCATTCAAATTACGATTAAAATGATTAAAATCCAATTTTAATACTTGTAAATTAACAATTTCTGCTATAGTAGATGATGGAATACATATTAAATCCCCTCCGAATGTTAGGTTCGTTAACGTATTAGAACATGTCGCTAAAGCGGAAGCTATATTTACATATGGTGGCTTATCTTCCAATGTTTCGGTATAACGTATTTGAGATTGACATTCGAAATATTTTAACCTTTTTTGAACCTCAATTAAAGTAGCTAAACCATCATTATCAAAAGGATAATATCCAATAAATAATGATTCAATATTCCTACAAATTTGAGCCATACGATAAAATATTGATGGAGGAATTTCCATGTTACATCGTAATTCACACAAATGCGATAAACTTGTTTCGGCTCCCGCAAAATATGGTAAAGGTAAATCGGGTACATTTCGATCAGAAATATCAAGGAAATCAATTGTCGAACATCGAGTTAAAAACATTCGAAACATTTCTTGTTTGATAAGATGTTTGCCATATAAATTTCTCGAATTGCCTAATTGACGATCCCCAATTGCCACTTCGACAATGTAACATATATCATTATAATATAACCGACGACAAAATGCCGCATATTCAAATAATGGTGGTTGCGCGGTTGGAGGTGGAATTATGATTCCGTTGTCAGATAAGAGTTTTTTCGAATCTTCCGGAAGGCAAGACAACAATGTGGTGAAAAGAATTTGCGTTGATTTATCATTGAAATGAGAATTCGATAACCAATTTCTCGTATTCCTCCAAAGGATCGGAACTGTTGTTTCGCACCAAAGTCGGTTTATGAGTAGAAAGGAATGTAAAGACTTTGTGTCATCATGTAAAAATTCGAATATCTCGCGTAGGCAATCTGCTGGTAGTCTTGATCCCATTTCTATTAACAAACTTTTCTTGAAAAAATTTATAATATAAAAATATCTTGTAATAAATTCAAAAAAAATTTTTTTAAAAAAAAAGAGAAAATTTTTAAATATATATTTTGTTAGTTTACAGTAGTAGTATCACAAATACTTAAATATTTCTAAAGATGGACAATAATCAAAAAACTTGACTATATTGCAGTTTACGTCGCAATATTGAATATACAATTATACAAATACCAACCAGTAACAAACTCAAATACAATTTTTAAAATAAAAAAAAATTTGAAAAAAAAAAAGATTTTATTTTATTTTATTAATTATATTTTTAAAGCTGTTACATGAAAAAAAAATTCTTTATTGCGGTTGTTAGTTTTACATATTAATATTAAAAGCAACTCACCCAAATAGAAATTATTAATGATCTTTTTATTGTAATCTTACTATACTTTAAGAAGAATCAAAAGATCAAAATCAAATTCTTGGAAAATAAATGAAGTAAAATAAAAATTATTAAGCAAATTTATATAAAAAAAAAAAAAAAAAAAAAGACTCACTTGAAAATAAGAAAACAACCGGAAATATTTTATATCTTTCTAGCCTTTTTTAGCAATAATAAGCCACGAAAAGATGCATAAACGAAAAAGATTCTTGCACTTACAGTACAAGTAAAAGGTCAAAGATATAAAAATCAAAAAACCGACTTTTTGAAATTTATGCAAGCTTTTATGTGATACATAGAATTAAAATTAAGTGGACGGAATTTTTACATTTTTTTCATGTGATTTCATCATACATGTCGAGATCATCATCCTATATAAGCCTGTCAAAATATTCAAAAAAAAAAACGAGTTGGGGTAGCATTCACTTTCAGTTTGTAAAGGTTGTCAATAATATCAAGAATATTGAATACCATATTTTTGTTAAGTAAAAACCAGTATATTTTCCTAATGATCAATTCATTCGAAGGTCACTACAAGTCACGTCGAACTATCAACCTTGGGGGGAGAAGACAACAAGAAGATAGGGAAGCACTCGTGAAAAAAACTCACGATCAACGTAAAGCTAGAGAGAAAGAGCGACTAAAGCAAAAGTCAGCAATCAAAATTCAGGTATCTAGAACATAATTAATGTTTCATACGGTGACAAATTTAAACGTACTGGGAATTTGATTAATATTAATTTGGTCGTTTAGGCTTTTTATCGCGGAAGAACTACGGCTGGAACGTTTCGTGATAATGAGCGCAAATCTTGGGATCAACAAATCAAATTCATGATAAATAATGTATATTCTGAGCGTGATTTGGCTCTGAATTTGATTAATCTCGTGCGCAGCTTTCTCTTTTTTTACCGTTCGCATTATGATGCTCAAAGAAAATTAAACTTGAATCAAATGTTGCGGAAACAAACAAAAGGTGCATCGTAATTTCATAATGTAAATTTTTGTTTAATCAAAGCGTTGGTTAATTTTATTTTTATTTAAATAGGTTTAGAAGCAGTCTTCTTTCCATTTTACTACGATGATTTACGAGATTTGTGGACTTACCAATTAAAACGGACTTTATTCATATTTCTCAAAAATCTTGAAATTAATACTATGTAATAATTTGTTTAGAGCAAGATCATTATTGTCCTTTTACTCGAGATTTATATTGAAATTCTTATTGTTTAGGCAACCAGATCAAAGTATCTATAATTTGGAAACGTTGCTTCTAACCATGAACATCTCAAAGTATCAAAAAATTCAGAATATTAATAGAGAGTTAGTGTAAATTCTTTTGTTCTATGTTTCTGTGAATATAATGATTTTTAAACATTTTATTGAAATAATTTATATCTGATCTGCAGAGAACTCTATCAAGGAATTTTAGAATACCTTGTAAAGAATGGCTTATACGTAGAATTGAGAAATATTTTGATCAGCATGGTAATTTCATTATAGCTTAAAAATTCTAAAGTGTATACATGGTATACTTACTTATTATTATTATTACTATTATTGTTTCATTTTGATTTTAGCAAATAGAAGATAAAGATAATCCTGTAATACTACCTTTAGTTGAACTTGCTTTGCACCCTTTACAAATTTCATCATCTTCACACCAAATCTATGATTCATTTCTACAAAATTTTATCACTCATATCTTTACAATTCCACTAATACCGAATCGGATCAATATTGAAACTTTAAAAATATTTTCTTCTCGGTTACCATTGAATGATATTATTCTGAAATTGTCAACTATGGTTGGAGCTGTAGAGGATATAGAACAAGGATGTGTACTATTTGGAAATTTGCTAGCATTTGCACATCAAAAGGTTTCAAAAATGAAGATTAATGTGATGGTACGTTAGTTGCAACATTTTTATTTTATTTTTTTTTGTTACCTATATTTGATAACTTACTCTCCTATTTAATTCTTTAACAGTTGGCTTATATGAAAACAATTCAAAACCTAGCATTACGAATTCCAACTCAGCTATTAATTGACAAATCTGAAAACTCTAATGGTATTTGAAGAATTATTATATTCATTAATAGTAACTTACAAGATTCTTGACAGATCTTAAATTTTCAGGTTCTATCATTCGTGAGGACGATGATGATGACGATGGAGATGTAGCGATGTCCAATAGTCCGGAATTAGATGCATTGCCTAAAGTTGATCCACGAATTTTAAAGTGGATTTCTCGCTTGTTTGATAAGGAGCATTTGGCTTCATTTTTCGCACTTGTAGCTTCTTCGGCCATTTTTGGAGTTTCAAATTTTTTTATAACCTTAATGATTCGATGGCCGTCCAAGAAAGTTGTCCTATTAAACAACATGATTTATGGAAAACGTCCTGTAGTTAGTTTGCTATGGGGTGCATTTGAAAATACAGAATTGGCTCAATTATTAACAAATAACAAATCAAACTCAAACACAATGACGGGTATTATTCAATAGGATTTTTCTTTTATTTTTAAAATGAATAAAATGATTTATAATCCGTATTTTCGTATATTCAGATCCCACTTTTTCTGAACAATGGGGTTTATTTGCCTTACTCTGTGAGGTATATAGTAGAGTTTTGTTTACTATGGGTGACGATGAATTTTTTGATGAGCGTAAAAATCCGTTAAGGTTATCAGAAATCATCAAGATGTCTACTTGTATGAAGGTATTAATGAGCATAAAAATTTTATTGAAGAAATATTATATATCTCATTAACTAAAACATTATATATATATATATTTATTTATTTAATTATCATTAGCATGTGGGATTTTTGATATATTGGAACAGGAACAATAGTCCTCCATTAAAAATGGATGTCAGAATTGAAAGTAGTTGCATTGATTTATATTATCTAAGAGATATTGTTACCAAACTATTGCGGCAGATTCATGCGAGAGAGTAACTATTTTTTTTTTTTATTTATTTATTTTTAAAAAAAAAAAAAAATTCAAATAATTTTTTTTTTTTTTAGTTCTCGCCGTCAATTCACCCCAACAGATCACTGGTTAATGACTTCAGAGATTGACATGAATGTTTTTGTGAAAATTGTAGTTTTAGATGAGCAAGATCTTGAATATGATAGTGATGATGAAGCTTGTAACTTAGATAAGATGCAGATAGCGAATATTAGCCCGAGACTTGGAATCTTGTATAATATTCCTTTTGTAATACCATTTGAGGAGAGGGTTAAAATCTTTAGAGAATTTGTTCAGAATGATCGTGAACGGTAATAATAATAATTTTTTTTCTTTTTAAATTTTTAAATTTTTAAATTTTTTTTTATAATTAATTAAAATTCTTTGTATTAACATTCAGGAATATTAATCGTGCCGATTTATTTATGCAGCCACGTGCACGTGTTTCAATTAGACGAAATTCTGTGTTTGAAGATGGTTTCAGTAACCTTAATGCATTAGGTTCCGGACTGAAAAGTCCGATTGCTATTCAATTCATTGATGAATTTGGAATGCAAGAAGCTGGTATTGATGGTGGTGGCTTATTTAAGGAATTTTTGACTTCGTAAGTGGACTTTCTAAATTTTAATAAAGCTTTATTAATATTCTCTTTTAATAATTATATATTTGATGTTCATAGGTTGACACGTATTGCGTTTGACACAAATTACGGGTTATTCCTTAGTACTAAGGAACAACTTTTATACCCTAATCCATATGCATTTTCCAGTCAAGGTTTTTAAAATATTTCTATAGTTGATAGAAATTTAATAACCTGTGATTATTCATGATTTTCAAATATCTAAAATTTTTTTCTTAGAGCAACTTAGTTACTATGGATTTATTGGTCGTATATTAGGCAAAGCTCTATATGAAGGAATTTTGGTTGATGCCGCATTTGCCGGCTTCTTTTTAAATAAATGGCTAGGAAGAACATCATATTGTACGTAACTTTCAATTGATATATTAACAAATATATCTTTTATTTACTTGCATGTTGTAAATTTTGTAGTGGATGACTTGCCTTCTCTTGATCCAGAATTGTATCAGGGCCTTATATATTTAAAAAACTATCAAGGCGATGTTGAATCGGATTTATCACTTAATTTCACTGTTGTAAATAATGGTGTGTATTCTCAAAATTACAAATTTTTGCCACCGATATTAAATATTTATTTTGTTTTTATTATTATTATTTATTTTTTTAAATAGAGCTTGGAGTATCTCGAACTATTGAACTTATTCCAGGAGGAAGTGATATACCAGTCACCAATGAAAACCGTATTAGTTATATACATAGGGTGGCAGATTATAGATTAAATAAACAAATAGAACTTCAATGCGGAGCATTCTTTGGAGGATTATTAGATTTAATTAATCAAAAATGGTTAATGATGTTTAATCAGGTAAGATAAATGATATCTAAAAAGCTTATATCAGAATGAATTTCTAATTTTTATTTATGCTTCTGAAATAGGAAGAACTTCAAATACTTGTTGGAGGAGCATATATTCCGATAAATATTGAAGATTTAAAACAAAATACAGAATATTCTGATTACAAGGAAGATGACCCTGTCATTATTAATTTCTGGAAAGTTGTAACTGAATTTCCCGAAGAACAAAAACAAAAACTAATAAAATTTGTTACTTCGTGTTCTCGACCTCCTTTACTTGGTTTTAAGGAACTTCATCCTAAGTTCAGTATACGTAAAGCTGGATCAGGAACTCGATTACCTTCCTCCAGTACTTGCGTTAATTTACTAAAGCTACCAGCTTATTCTGATGAAAATACTTTAAGGGAGTATGTAATGAAAGTTTTGAAGTAATTTTTTCTTTGTATCATGTATTAATATATTTTATACATCTTATCTAGGAAATTGTCATATGCCATAAATGCTGATGTTGGTTTTGATCTATCTTGAAAGGTTTCTTGTATAAAATATATGGATTAATTTTTTTTTCTATTCTTACTATATTAATTATTTTTATTATTGCAATTCCGATATGAAACTAAATTAATTTAAAAATTTGACATCATTAAAAATCAAATCTTTATGAATGGTTAAAAAAAAAAAATTCTTTTAATTCTTTTCAAGAATAGATGTTAAATTAAAGGATAATTTTATAAATTAGTATATTTAGGTTAGAAGTAAATAATGCTATTCATCAAAAAGTTCATTATTATAGATATCTTATGAAATAAAAATGATTTAAGAAAAAATTTCCGAGAATAATAAAGATCATTTTAGAACGATAGATCGAGTCGCATTATGTAAATTGGCCAAACCAAATTTGTATAATCTTCAATTTTTATCATTTCTATAATAATTTGTTATTTATCTTATTAGGCAAATTCTTTAATTTAATACAATGAATTCTTTGATTCGTTTTTAAATTTGGCTTAAATGATTGAATACTTTTAAATAAATGCGATGATGAATTAATTTAAAAGAGTGATTGATCAATTATTAAGTCAAGTTTGTGTATTGATTTTTGTTTTTGACTATGGTACATAGAGTTATTGACTTATAGGTGATAATTTTATTGTGATTTGTTGTGTTGACGCATCTTTTTCTTTCATTATTTTTATTGGAAAAAAAAATTGTATTTAACTAAGCCAGAAAAAGCTTTTTATAACTAATCATCATTCATATAATCAGATATTTCATTGAATCCTTTGAGTCTGTTTCATATGATCCGAATCTGAACTAATTTGTATAAAAATTGGTTTGGTTATAAAAGTAAAAATTAGAAAATAAGTTCTAAAATTTCATATTAGTATTAAAGTAATTAATGTTAAAATTAAGGGTTAGATTTAAGATTAATATATTTCTTAGATTTTATAGCTAGTTATTTAGTTATTTATATCTTTTTTATATTTTATTTATTTTATTATTTACATAAGTGATATAAAATGAATTTAAACATTTTAATATTTATGAAATTGAAATGTATATTCATGTTTTTATAAGATATTATATTAGAATTTATATTAATTAGAATTATAAATTTTAGAATTTATAATTTAGGATTTATAGTATTAAAATTATGATTGTTAAATTTCATATCAGATTTTATATATAATAATATAAAATTATATAATATATTAAATTTTAATTTTTTTAGAATTTTTCTTTTAAATTGAAAACTTTTATATTCAATTGATTTTATTCTCAATAACAAATAATTATTAAACTATTATAACTTTTATTAAATAATAATTTAATAAACACAAAATCATCAATTCAATTAATTACTAAAAAAATAATGACTTTACTAACTGGTTTTCAAGTGAAATTACCTATGTAATATATAATTAATGATAAATAGAATTTTTACAATAAAAATTTTCTAAATTTCTTGATTATTATTAAAAATAAAAAATAAAGGAATGTAATATATTGTGATAAATAAATCTTAATCTTAAACCTAATCCTAACAAACTCTAATTCTATATCTAAATCAAACTCTACATAATTCTAATTCTATAAGTAGGTGAAATTTTACATGAATCATTTAGATGAAAATTAGTCTTAATCAAAAATAATATTATAAATATTAATTATAATTAAAAATTTTATTTAAATAAATAAGTATTATTTATATTTTTTAGAAATTTAATATAAATAAATATATCTATAATATAAGTATTAAAAAAAATATATAAATATTATATAAATAAAATTGCAATTTTTGTTATATTTCTTGATTAATTCAATTAATAACTTAATATTTTAATATATTTTAAATATTATATTTTTAATTTATTATTATTACTAGAAATTATATTTAATATTATTAAATATATAAATTAACTAATATTATGTTTTTTTTTTTATAAATTAATTTTATTTAAAAATAATAAAATAAATTTTAATTATATAGATAATAATCTTTTTTAATTTTTAAATATCAAAATTTACAAAAAAATTATTTTAAGTTTATAAAAATAGAGATAATATAAAAATATAAAAAGTATATAATAAAATATTTGATTTAAATAATAAAAAAAAGGAATATTTTTTTAATTAAATATAGCTAAAGAAATAAATAAAAAGATTAGATTTAAATATTACAAATGAATTAAAAATATTCATTTTCTTATTTAATTATTAGAATTTGAATTTAAAATATATTTTTTTAAAATAATGATATAAAGATATTAGAATAAATAAGATAATTCTAATTATTAAAATAATAAAAATTTTAATACAGTGTATAAAAAAAGTTTTCAAAATCATATTTTAATTTATTATACTTTGAAAATAAATAAAAATTATATAAAAATTAAAATATATTCTTTATTATTATAAAAAAAAAGTTATTTAAGCTTAATTAAGAACTTATCTTATTATTATTACCTTAATTACTTATTTTGATATACTACAATTAAATTAATAAATATTTCAGATTCAATTTTCTCCTACTTTTTTTAATTCTATGAAGAAAATCATTTATAGTGATTAATTTTTTTTACTAATAATATGTTAACCTGTTTCTCCATACGTCTCTTTAAAATTACTTATAAATTTTTAATTAGATTAAGATCTAAGATTTTTTAATAGGCAATCTAATAACTTCAGATACTACAGTCAGACCTGTCTATAATCACCCTGTTTATAATCACATCTTGTCTATAATCACTTAATTTTAATGTCCTAAAAATATAATATTTATTTACCCTTTTTATAATCACAACTATATGTTAATCACTATCACTGGGAAAAAAGATTTTTG